AATGCCGCAAGGTAAACCTATTCAAGTGCTGACAACACCTCTAAGTTATGCAAAATTAAAACTAGATTATGTGACAGGGTTAGTTGGATATTACTCAATACTTCAACAAACTCTTTAAATATTTGCTTCAACTAAATATGTATGAAGCATGCAAATGGAGGTGCTCAAAAGACTTTGTCCTTTACAAAATTATTGTTGAACAACAGAGAACCATCAAGTTCCTTGTAGGACTCAACAAGAAACTGGATGAAGCCAGAGGAAGGGTCATAGAAATCAAACATCTTCCCTCAACTCGTGAGCATTTGTTGAAATACAAAGGTAATAGATCAAGAAAATACTCAAGATGACAGGTAATCTCATTACAGCAAATGTTGCCAAATCGGCTCTATGCATGCATAAATCAACTCAGGACAATAAATCAAAGAGAAATAAAACGTGAGGCAAACATTGCAAGAAACATGGTCATCCGAAAAACAAGTGTTAGAAAACTTATGAAAAAACTGCAAATTGGAAGCCCAACAAAGTCAAAGGCGATGAGAAAAATCTAATTAACACAACATCAAAGGAAGACAAGCCTCATGAACATAGTCTATTCAGCAAGGAAAAACTTGAAGCTCTCCAAATGCTAATGGAACAATATTATGAGTCTTCTAGTAGCCTTCTAGCAAATCAAGCTAGTCTTTCATCTACTCTTATTGCTCTCAATAGGAAGAGACAGCCTTGGATAGTGGACTCTGGAACATCTGATCACATGACAAGTGATATCACTGCTTGGAATCCTTCCATCCTTGCAAATATTATGTTGCAGTTAGAACCACATATATCTTGTTGTCCTCTGTGGAAGAGAGCGGAAGTGTGAAACTCATAAAGGATTTTATTCTACAAATTGTGTTTTATATTCCTAAACTTAACTGTAATTTATTGTCTATAAGTAAACTCACTCGTTTCATGAATTGTGTTACTAAATTCTAGCCTAATATATGTGAGTTTCAGGCGATGAACTTAAGAAATGATTGGTAGTATGGATATGTATCATGGATTTTATCTGCACACACTAGGACTACCACTTCAAAAGGATCGTCTCACCACTTAAAATTCATTGAGTCATAATCGAGTTTTGTATCTGAGTCTATTTAACATGAGTGTTAAGTTATGCTATTTTTGCATTGAGCATCCTAATTTCTATTATAATGAAAAATTATATCCTCATTTGTT